CCGCCGCCACGGACTCCGGGGGACGCCCGCCCATCGGCGCCGGCGCGGACCCGAGGGCCCCGCCCCCCGCAGCTCCGCCCACTGCCCAAGCCCGCCGCCCCCAGACCGTGGCCCTCGGCTTCCCCATCCGGAAAAGGGGTGCGAACTCCAGCTTTTAGATGGGTAAGGGCCGCACAACGTAGAACCCCAATACCGTTCACCTCCGCGGTTCTGCCACCAGAGCCTCCCAGAGGGGTGTCCACTGCGGAGTAAGGAATCACCCGAGGGGTCATTTCCACCAGGGACTGGCAGAGCAAATGACGGTCAGCTCGGGAGGACAAGCCAGGAACAGAACGGGAGGGGGCTGTGCGTGCCCACCGAGGGCAGGTCCCACACCATCATAGGGTCACAAAGCCAACTGCAGCACAACAGAATGACACCCTATGGGTAAAACCCGCCAAGTGACCTCGCCTCTGAGCGTCTGGATCCTTGTCTGCAAAATGGGAGTAGTGGGGGACGGCTCATAGGATTGTTGCAGGGACTGTGAATGTAAAGGGCTCACAATAGGGGCTGGCTCCACGAGCCCACCTAAGAGTTTGTTAAACACGTCGATGTGAACGCCTCCCAGACACTCCCCTCCACTTTCCAACTCAACTGAGCCTTCTCTTCCCCCTCCCCTCTGCCATTCTGGCCCCTTCAATCCATCCTCCACACAACAGCCAGAAGGAGCTTTTAAAATATACAACAGGATGTGTCATTCTGGTCTCAGACTCACCAGCGAGTCCTTGTCCCCTGAATAAAGCCCAAGACTGATGTAACCTCTCCACTCTGGCCCTCACCTCAGAACTTCAGCCACACTGGTTTCTCAAAGATCCTCTGTGCCCTGCTCCCTCCTGCCCCAGGGCCTTTGCCCATACTTTCCTCTCTGCTGGGTGTTTTTCATTTTATTCCTCCTCAGTTAACCCCTACTATCCTATAACTCTCAGCTCAAGCACCACCTCTTCCAAGAAGCCCTCCTGATTTTCTCATTTGTATGAGTCTCTAGCAGACCCCAAAAGCCTCATGAGGGGAGGGAACACATGTTCCAAGAACCTGAAAGAACCTGACACAGAATCGGCCCGTTGTAATTATCTGTTGCATGTTTAGAGATGCCCAGAAACATCTGGAAGGAGCATAGAAAACTGATCACAGTGGCCTCTTTGGGGCTGAGGAAAGGAGGGGAATTCACTTACGACTTTATTGGATCAGATTTTAAGTTAGGACAAAAACGGTGATGAAGCCTACCTTCCTTGGGGCTGTGAGGCTCAAAGGAGATGACACCAAGCAGGGTCAGGGAGAAGGGAAGTGGAAATGGGCATTTTTTTTTTGCAACCTTGACCTCGCCCAACCCCCATATTTGCTCCCAGTTCACAGACCCAAAACCCGGCCCAAACACCATCAAAATATTTATTAAAACCAAAGCAGGAGAGAACAGAGCTGTTAGGAAGGCAAATCAAAGTGCAGATTGGAGGATGGGGCAGAGCAAGTGGGGTGGAGGGGGGCACTTCAAATGCCACAGGAGGGCCCCTGTGGTCTGGGCAGGGGGAGGCCCTTCACCCACCCCTCTTGCCCACCCTGTCAGCGAAGGTCCCCCACTCACCTCTCCCATCTCACATCCATCCTGGGGGCAGCTGAGGCCCTGCAGTGACCCCCTGGGGAGGGACCACGCCCCTCAATCCACCCACGGCTGTCAGTTGGTCAGTCTGTCTCCCTCCCTCACTTTCCCAATAAATAAACCGCTCAGACCTCAGCTCCTTCGGAATGGGGCAAAAATCAGCTCAGGGACCCCCACCCTTCGCTCAGGGGTACAGGGAGTTAGGGCATCAGCCCCACACCCCTCCTACCCTTTGCTGGTGCCCCAGGCTTGCCAAAGAGGCCTTGATAAATAAATAACGCTCCATTAAAGCTTCGATCAGAAAAACCTTTAAGACGACAGAAGTGCTCTCGCTGTCCTGCAAACAAGCAGGCCAAGGCCTCGCCACCCGGCCTGGTCAGCACGCAGGATTCTGGGGGCAGGTGGCCACCCTGGGCCTCGTGGGGCCCCTGGAGCAAGGAGACCAAAAGTGCAGTTAGAGCCCCCACCACGCGCACACATGGACTCATGCACACACACGTGGACACACTGGGGCGTGTTTTCAGTGCACGCACAGATGTGTTCACCTTCATTCCCCGGTACATGCACACACACATGCTCACACACCACTCACCCCGTGTACACACATGTTGGGTGTTGGGTGCATGCACATACACACCACAAACAGAATCCTTCCCTTCCTGGCTTGCTCAGCCTCCTGGCAGTAGCCAGACTCCAGAGCCAGAAGCTTCTGGAGACAGGGGAGAGGGGTATAAATTAAACATTTCCAATTGGGCTGGGAGGACAGCCAGGGACAGGGGGCTCCAGGGCTGTAGAGACAGGATGGGCATCTCAGGAGGCCCTGGCCCCTCTCAGCCCCATCAGAAATCCAGGGGAGTGAGGTCCCCAAAGTCACAGTCGAAGAGGTCTCTGATGCCCTCACCCTCCTCAAGGCCAAAGTGGTAGTCAAGGGCCTCGTGGGGGGGGGACAGGCTGATGAACTCCTCAGGGAGGAGGCCGGAGAAGTCCTCCCGCACATGCTCCAGGAGCGAGTCGGCCGCCACCAGCGGGGACAGGCGGTCCTCGTCCACGGGGGCCCGCAGGCCGCCCATCCGGGAAAGCAGAGGTTCTGGGGAGACGGGGGAGCATCACAGGCCGGGGACGCCCCGGCAGGGAGGGCAGAAGGGGCTGTCACGCCTGCCCACCCACCTGGGAGAGGGGCCCTGCCCCACCCCACTCACCCTTCACCCACCTTGCTCCAGGCTGAGCAGGGACTGGCTAGGATCCGTGGCAGGGGATGAGGAGGGAGATGATGGTGGTGGCACTGTGGTGGCAGGGTCAGCTGCCCTGTCCTCCTCCCCAGAAGCTGTCCCCTGGGACGAGGTCTTCCCGGGGCTGATCCCGCCCGCACTCTCCTCAGGACACAGGAAAACATCGATGGGGCCTTGTTTGCTCTTAAGGGAGATCTGAAAGGTCTGGGTGGAGGCAGCAGGCAGGGTAAACTGAGGCTCAGCTGACCACCATCCCAGCCCAGCCTGTTCTGGTCAAGCCTGGAGTCCCAGGTCTCACCTCCGAGGAGTCCACGGCTTGGAGCTGGGTCTCGGGAGGAGCCTTGATCACCATGACCATCTGCTCTGCAGGGTCCGCGATGCTACGAAGGTCCTGGCAGGTCACATAGGCCAGGGTTGGTGGAGTCAAGGACCACATGACCTTTGACCCCTGGGGGTCACCCACCCAGACAGCTCATAAGGCAGAGCCCACATCTGCCTTGTCACTCCTGTCCTCTCCCATCTCCCACCCCAAGGCCTGGCACATAATTGGTGCTTCAGCCTACCTCATGCCTTGAGCCTCAATTTCCACATCTGTACAGTACCCATCAAATCCCAAGTAATGATGGCTGCCTACAATAATTTCATGTAAATTACCTAACACGACTCAAGGCCTGGTGGTGAGAATTTATTCTGACCCATGATCTTGGTGTCAGTTAGTGGTTGTGTCCAAAATTTATAAACGTAATCTGGGTAGTCACTTTAAAAGGCTTATTTTAGGGCCAGCCCCATGGCTTAGCGGTTAAGTGCACCCGCTCTGCTGCTGGCAGCCCGGGTTCGGATCCCCGGCGCCCACCACTTCTCCGGCCATGCTGGGGCCGCGTCCCACATACAGCAACTGGAAGGATGTGCAGCTATGACATGCAACTATCTACTGGGGCTTTGGGGGGAAAATAAATAAATAAAATCTTTAAAAAAAAAAGGCTTATTTTAAAATAAAGTTTCTGTTTTTGCAAATGAAAGACAAAAACTTGCATCTCTAACCTTGAAGCCGCAACCATTTACTGAATCCCTGTACTAAATGATGTTCGTTATTGCTGGTACTAGCTTTTCTTGTTTTAATCTGTGCAATTTCAGAATTGGATTATTTTCCCCTTTTACAGATGGAGCTGAGGCTCAGAGAGTTTAAGAAACTTGTCCAGCATCGCAGAGTGAGTAAACACTGTGCCGGCACTTGCATCCAAAGGCAGAGCCCTCTCCTGGATCCCGGGCCCAGGGTAGTCTCTCTAGTCCCACTGGGTGGGACCCCGCCCACCAGGCAGTGCAAGGATATCGCTGGCTGTCGGCGTCCTCGGAAAGCAGCCGCAGCTGTGTGGTGCAGATGTGGATCAGGTGGTCCAGCTGCCGCTCGCTCTCCTGCAGTTGCCGGAGGTCCTGGGTCAGTCCTTCAAGCCGCCCGCCAATCCCCACTGCTGCATGGCTGCCTCTGCGGGGAGGCAAAGGGAGGGTGAGCAGCTCCTGACCTCTCTGCCCAGGAGCCCTCATCTTCGGCACTGTCTGCTGCTGCCTCTGTTCTGTGAGACCCAGATGAGCCCTGGCCCCAATCTGGGTCCGGCTCCTCAGCTGGGAAAACAACAGAGGGCTAAAGCTGGGCTCCAAGTCAGACGGGCATGGGTTTAAAGTTGGGCCTGCGGGGGCCAGCCCCGTGGCCTGGTGGTTAAGTTCAGCAGCTCCGCTTTGGCAGCCCAGGTTTGGTTCCTGGGCGTGGACCTACACCACTCATTGGCAGCCATGCTGTGGCAGCGACTCACATACAAAACAGAGGAAGACTGGCACAGATGTTAGCTCAGAGCAAATTTTCCTCAGCAAAAAATAAAAAATAAAGAAAATAAAGTCAGGCCTGCATGTCTATAAACACTCACGTGTCCCTCACGGGGGCTGGATAAGTAACGATGGCATAGACGTGCCACAGAATACTCCACAGTTGTGTAAAAAGCCAAGAATGCATTAGATGTACAGATATGGAAGCATTTCTAAGACATGTTGTCAAGTGAAAAGAAAGAAGAATGATGCAGAATGGAATGATCTACCAAAAACCGAAAGGGCAGATGAGTTCAAGAGAGGGAGGACATGGGCCGGCCCCGTGGCTTAGCAGTTAGGTGCGCGCACTCCGCTACTGGTGGCCCGGGTTCAGATCCCGGGCGCACACCGACGCACCGCTTCTCTGGCCATGCTGGGGCTGCGTCCCACATACAGCAACTAGAAGGATGTGCAGCTGTGACATACAACTATCTACTGGGGCTTTGGGGGAAAAATAAATAAACAAAAATTTAAAAAAAAAAGAGAGGGGAGGACAAGCAGGGAAAGAGGTGAGAAGGGAACAGTAAAACAAGAATTAACAGGAATAAAAGTTGTGTTAGACCAGCTCCGCAATGGCAACAGAAGTCAGAACAGTGGTATGAGGGGTGGGAACGACTGGGGAGGGGCACAGGGAACTTTCCAGGGTGCTGAAATGTTCTTTATCTTGATCCGGATGGTGGTTACCCAGGTGAACAGGTATGTACACCACACTGAGCTGGATACGTAAGGTTATGAACTTCCCTGCATCCATCGCCTCAGGGAGCCACCTCTCCTCTCGAAGCCTGTTTCCCCAGCTCTAAGATGGGGATGCAGGCAGCCACAGCATCACTATCAGCTCCTCCAGGCTGGCCCAGCCCCCGGCCTCCACCCACCCTCCTGCTTGGCTGGTACCTACAGCCACTGGATGTGGTTCTTGGACTTCTTGGCGATGAGCTGGATGCCCTCAAGGACGTTGGTGATGTCGTAGATGCGCCGTTTCTGCACCTTCAGCACCTCAGCTGCCCAGTTCAGGTCAACAACGCCATCAGCCGAGCGGCTCAGCAGCTCCAGGAAGCGTTTGGTGGTCAGATTCAGCGACGTCTCATAGCGTGACTTCTCCCCCGGGGATTTCACACCTGGGGGAGCCAGGCAAGGCAGGGTCCCTCAGCACCACCCCCACCCCCAGCTGGGCCGGCCTAGGGGTGGGGTGGGCAAATGGCTCCTTCCCCTTGGTGAAGCCAAGCAGGGAGGCCCTGTGGCTGCTGCCTGCCAACCAAAGCATTCCTTTTCCGGCCGGGGAACTCCCCACCCCCCAGGGCCTGGGGAAGCCATGCCAGGCGGCCACTCCAGCTGCCCCTCGGGGTCCCCAGAGGCCTGGCTCAGGCCCCGGCCTAGGCCTGGCAGACCAGAGCTTAGTTTGCAAGTATGTTTGTCTGTCCACACCCCAACCTGGGCCTGGTCAGGGGGCCTGCCCCAGCCTGAGCTCCGCAGGTACCTTTTCCCGGGTGGCGGCCTCTGCCCCGGGCTGGCCCGCTGCTCTCAGCCAGGTATTGATGGTCAGTTTCCAGGTCCAGCCTCCGCTTCACCTGCAGCAAAATAAATGGGAGGATGCCCAGTAACCAGGAGAGTGAGGCCACAAGAGACCTGGCTGAGGCTTGGTGCTCCTGGGCCACCCCTGGCCTCAGTTTCTCTACCAGTGTGCCTAGGTGTGTGAGTGAGGGGCAGATTCTAGGGGACACAATCCTACCACACAGGACAGAACACTCAACTGGAAGGCCCAGTTCCACCACTACCTCCCTGGAGGCCTGTAGTAGTTTGCCAATTGTTTGATACTCCTCCTTTCAAAGGATGGAGCCTAATTCTCCTCCCCTTAAATATGGGCCAGACCTGGTAACCTGCTTCTAATGAACAGAATGTGGTGAAAGTGATGGTGTGTCACCTCACTTGAGACAGCGTCATCGAGGCACTGGAGCTTCCTCCTTGCTCTCTATATTGGACCACTTTGGGGGGAGCCAGCTGCCATGTCATGCAGGCGCTCAAGTGGCCCTACGGGCAGGCCCAAGTGGCCAGGAACCGAGGCTCCTCCCAACAGCAACATGGGTAAGCTTAGAAGCAAATCCTCCAACCCTAGTCACACCTTCTGTGGAGTGTAGCCTGGACCAACATCTTGACAGCAACCTCAGAAGAAACCCTGAGCCAGAGGCACCCAGCTAAGTCTTCTCTGAATTCCTGACCCACAGAAACTGTGTGATAATATATGTTTGCTGTTTTAAGCCATTAAGATACAGGTCCCTTGGACAAGTCACCAACTCTCTGGTTTCCAACTATCTGTGAACATTAGTTCAGATAGTTCACTATGTGCATACATTAGTTCCTTCCATCCTATGGACTGGCAGCACGGTAATGGCCCCATTTTACACACAAAGTAACTGAAGCCCAGAGAGGCCCAAAGTCACACAGCTAGGAAGTGGCAGAGCCAGGATTCCCGCCCAGGATGCCCTGATTTAGTTCACACTCGAAGATGGAGATTGCCCTGGAAGTCTCACCTCAAAGGCACCCTGACCCAAACCAGACATACCCTCCCCTCCCCCATCCACAGAGTTTCCTGAGCTAGAACCTCTTCAGCCCCGCCCGCTGCCCTCATCATATCTATTTGCCAAGAAATCCTGTCACCACAGCCACTACCACCTCCCACCTGGACCATTCGGCCGTCTCAACGGTCCCCCTGCCTCCGTCTGTCCTCTTCCACCTTAGTATCCTCATCTGCCACCACTTCTCCACATGAACTTCTGCTGAGACATGGTTTTTCACAAACCTATGCCTCTGAGCCTTAGCCCATGCTGGTCCCTCCCTGCCTCCCACCCTTCACACCTACTCCTTCCACCCCTATGACCTTACCCATCACTTAAGACTTTCTGATCCTGTGATAGAGACTGCACCTCTTCCCCCTCTGAACTGCCTCAAACCCAACCTTTTCCCACAGTCTGTCACTAGAAACTTCTGTATATGTGTTTGTTTCACCCGGAGGGCTCCTCACCCGGAGGCCAGGGAGCCCTCAGAGGTGGGCACTGGGTCTCAATCATCTCTGTACACAGTGTCTGGCATGAGGCCTGGGCATCCACAAATGTCTGCTGAATGAACCTCCCCACCTGCTGACAGATGCGGACACTCCCTCCCTCACACACATTCATGGGCTCCCTCAGGCGTCCTGGAGATAGAAGAGCTAACATGTGCTGGGTGCTTCCTGTGAACTGAGCACCTGCTAAGTAACTGCTTCACCTGCATTCAATCACCAAACCCACCCATCACCCTGCAGCGGGTGCTACGATCTTCACTTCCCGAGGAGCCTGCACCTGGGAGAGGTCACACAGACAGTGAGAGGTGGAGCCCGGATTTGAATCCTAGTGGGCTGGTAGAGCCACGTTCCTATCCACACGTCCTGCCTCTCTAGAGCCTACTCCAGAAGCCAGGTCCCCAAGAGCCAACCAGAATGTACCCCCTCTCCAGTCCTGCCCACAGGGATGGAACCTGGCATGCTCCTGCCAACTGCACCCCTCGCCTTTTCCCTGTTCCCCAGGCCCTTGCCCACCCTGAAGGCAGGTCAATGCCACACCCTAAAACAAGGGCTCAAATGTCGCACCTCTAGAGAACCCCCACAGGGGCCGGGAAAGGCAAGGATGAAGACACACAGAACACTGGTGAAAAATCTCATGACCCAAAATGCCCATCCACGGGAGGGGGCCACAAAAACCATGGTTCATCCAGCCCCAGGAATACCAGCAGCTGTCAAGGACTGAGGCAGGTCGACGCAGAATCCTCTCAAAGACATATTGACAAGAAAAATGCTATAGGGAAATGCACTTATATGATCCCTTTTTGGATTAAAAAACTCCTGAAACCTGTTTTCTCTGATTCGGTTTCTGTTATTATAGAATCCATTTCAGGAGGAACCTCCGTATGGGGAGAGGTTCCATGAGGAATTGTTGCCTTCTCTGTAAAGTGTGAACAATGCACTGTCTGAACACGGAAATAAAGGAAAAACTACAATTTTTAAAACTTTGGAAAAGGAAAGCTGTCATAACCACCTTTAAAAAAACACACAAAATAGGCTTAGGAAAAGAAAAGAGAAGGAAGGATGGATGGGGCTGAGATCCTGCCCCCTTCAACTTTCACCTCTTAACTCTTTTTCTACAGTAAATATGTATTATATATATATATTTTTTTTATAATTTTATTTATTTATTTATTCCCCCAAAGCCCCAGTAGATAGTTGTATGTCATAGTTGCACATCCTTCTGGTTGCTGTATGTGGGACGCGGCCTCAGCATGGCCGGAGCAGCAGTGCATCGGTGCGCGCCCGGGATCCGAACCCGGGCTGCCAGCAGCAGAGGACGCGCACTTAACCACTAAGCCACGGGGCCGGCCCCAAATATGTATTATATTTAGTTTGTTTTTTAAAGCCATGACAACAGGGTAGAGGTGGATACGAAGAGCCAGGAGGAATGGCTGAATTGCAGAGCCTCGTATGCAGGAGATGCTCTATGAATGCGCACTGGTGCAGAAGCTGAGCCTGTAGCTTGTTTCAAGGACTGCCCCAAACAAACGGCAGTGCAGAGGGTCGGCGGAGGTCACAGCGCATACAGCCAGCGGCTACTCAAAGGCACAAGAGTTGGGGGTGTTAGAGGGCAAAAGCTGACCCCCCATCTCTGCCCACCAGCAGAAAATGCCCACTAGCCCTTAAGTATTGTGAGGGCACAGGCTCCTTACTTGCCTCCGTGCCTAGTACCTAATGGGCGTGCACTAACTCAACAACTGTTGAATGAATGGACTGCTCAGGCCCAGTGAGGCTGCCCCAACACCACTGGGGGTGGAGCGGAGGGCACGCTTCCTCAGCCCCGTCCCTGGCAGTATCTCTGAGCCTGGAGCTCAGCTCCTTGAGGGCAGGACCCACAGCCCTGGGCCTGTATGTACTTGTCAGTCAGCTCAATGGAGGATACTTGTCCAGGTCCCAAGCTGGTACCTGCAGGGACAAGCCACCAGGATATAGGAGACAAGCCAGGTGACCCAATCCTGGGATCCCCTCCCCCTCACTCAGTAGGAGGAAGGGGCCCTGGGCTTCCTTCAATCTGTTAGCATCTCTAGGAGGCAAGGCATCCTAGCACAGCAGTTAACTGCTCTGGAAATTTGGACTGGTCCTACCACTCACTAGCTGAATGACTAGGGAAGGTTCTAAGATTTCTAGGCCTCAACTTCCCTATCTGTAAAAGGGGAAGGTTGTTGAGAGGGTTAAACAAGTTAATTGGGTAAAGTGCTTGGCACAGAGCCTGACACACAAAACAGTCTCAAAACAATGGTGGCTGCTATTGTTATTATTATTAGCATCTTGGTGATTCCGGAAGGCAGCACTGGGCATGGGGCCAAGGAGGTTGGGGGAGCCTTGCCGGGATGCCTCAGGGACCAGCTGCCACCCAGGCCCCCATCAGCAGTTGGGCAGCTTCCACCTCCTTGCGCTGGGCCCTGCCTCACCCCTCCCACTTGCTCCAAGCCCCCTGCTGAGACCCCTCCTGCTCGCCCCACCTTCACTCACAAGCTGTGCCAGTCAAACTGGTCTCCACACCCTGTCCTGCAGCCCACAAGTCCAAGCATCAGGCCTCCACTCCCTTCTCCCCCACCTCTTCTGGACCCCCCATACTGAACTGGTCTTGAGCCTCTTGCTGTTCAGGGAGCACTTTATCAAGGCATCTCCCAGGGACGTTTACTCTCTCCTTGCAGTGGGGGGCCTTCTCTCCAGCTCCCAGAGGCCCAGCCTACTTCCACAGTACTTCCAGTACTTCCACAGGGGCAGAGGGGTCTGCCTGCCTGATTAATGAGGTTCCATGGCAACCAGAGCCTGGGCGGGTGGAGGGTGGCAGATGGAAGGACAGGCAGAGGGAGGGGATCAGCAGCTGGCCCAGCCACCCCGCCCCTGCAGAGAAGGCCTCCCAGCCAGGAGGCCTGTCCCCAGAGGCCCAGGCCTGCACCTGGCAATCTAGCGCTGAGGCAGGAAGGAGGGTCTCCTCAATGGCTCTTCAACGGTCTGGCCCCAGGACGCCCCCCTTCACCTCCCCAAGCAGCCGTGCCCACTACCCAGCTACAAGCTCTGGTCTGAAGCCAGCAGCCCTCAGTTCAAATCCCAGTCCCACCACTTGCAGCCGTGTGACCGGGGCAAGTCACTTGCCCTCTCTGAGCCTCAGTTCAGATGGGTCACCGAGCTCTCAGTATGCTTGTGAGTTTTAGCTGGCTCGAAGTCTGCCAGGCCTGACATGCAGTCTGCGCCAGTTGAATACACGTGGGCCATTATTATCTCTGAGTTTGACCCACGCGAGGCTCCGGTGAGGACGCTGAGGCTCAGAGCACAGAGAAGCAAACAAGGACTGGCCCGAGGTCACCCCGCACCCCGGGGCGGGGCCCGGAGGCTCAGCCCAGGCTCGGCACCGCCCAGGCCGGGCGCCTCAGCCCACCCCTCCCCCGCCCCCGCGGCC